CATCTGTCAACTGTTGTGTCATCTCCCTCAGTTCTTCATCTCTGTTTCTTGGTTGCTCTTGAACGTTCTCCAGGTGCTGTGTCAACTCCCTAAATAGTCCTTAGATAATGAATATAGAATAATGCATTTTTAGCTTGTCTCACAGGGCGTGAACCGATCGAAAACCCAAAACATATTCCTCTCTCTCCCATTCAAGAGATTTCAAACTTAGGATCTGGATCATTTAGACTCCATTTTAGATTACTCCATTTTAGATTACTCCATTTTAGATTACTCCATTTTAGATTACTCCATTTTAGATTACTCCATTTTAGATTACTCCATTTTAGATTACTCCATTTTAGATTACTCCATTTTAGATTACTCCATTTAAGATTACTACATTTTAGATTACTTGGCGCCCAGCCTGCTATCCGTTAAAATATATATGTAATATATTCAGTCTCCTGCGTTACCTAATATTGTAACTTGAAAGCTCATGACGGAAATCGCTAGTCTTCCTTACAATTATTTTTCTTTACAAATTTGTTCCTCAACAAGCTCCTTTTACCTGATATCTTCTTTGTTTCCCTTTTAAAATTCTCAGTGAGGTCTTTTTCGGTACCAGGAACAAATATTCCCCCTCTTCCTTCACCGACCCCACTTCTAGTTACTTCATTCTTGGGAAAAAAAGGAAAACACATAGCAACTCAGGGGACAAAAACATTTTGGTACATGTACATTGGGCCTCCCTGCCAAACAAATCTAAAAAAAATCTGTGCATTGCGGTATTTTTTTCAGGAACTTAAATATTACGTTTTTACATTATTTGCCTTAGTTAAGTTTAACAGAAATAAAAGACCTATGCCACGCTCAAGTTGAAATTGGAAATTAAATACGCTTTTAATAGGCACTTTTAAAATAACTTTTTACTAATTTATCTAAGGTCAGTTTCATAATTAATGTTTTCTTAGATTTTTGGTTTGCTTATTCTCCAGTGGACCCCTTGAGAACCACTGAGGTCTCTTCTTAAAATATGTACTGTTACAATATATATGAATTCTTATTATTATTATCACCGACTAGCAAACGGACTCTACTCACACTATTTAAACTATTTTTATATCAGGAGTATTAAGCTCGTTGACCCGTTACAAAACGTGCTACGTGCGAGTTCAAGCGATTGCTGTCACGAATTGTTATGATTTACTTTTAACGAACTCTCCATAGAAGGATTTCATAGTGGCAAATTGCCCTGGAAATTCAAGCTTCAAGCAATTTAAGATAGTATCAATGTACAACAAAAGACTGATGAGCTTTTAAGATTATTATGATAGTTGCCAGTTATATTATGCGCCGTAGAGGGATGTCATCTGTGGTCGGGTGGTACACTGTCTGATAATTTCCTTCCTTACGACCGCTTTTTTCGCAAGTCTTCGGTGCAAATTCAGTTTGACTGCTTGTATTATAAGTAATCAAGTCATTATACAACGAATGCGAACGAAATCAACCAACGCTAAAGCCAGACCGCAAAACTATACAAATAAACTTTTAATGAAAAGTGAGTCACACTGGAGATTGAGGAGAGGCCCAAAAAAATTCTTAGAATTCTAATTAGGGATTAGTGTGCTCTTACTGTTTTACAATTCCTTTCGATTCATCGACCGTCAGTAATTACTTCAACTCTTCACGGTTTGCTGTTTGAACTTTCATTTTAATTGCTTTGTTTTTGTTGTACAAACATTAATCGGATGGGTGATCATAAGTCTGTTTATTTGATCAACAAGTCGACCGCGGTAAAGCCCGCTTGCAAGCTTTATCTAACGGCTTGCTATTGCTTGAAATCCACCATCAACTTGAGTTGTATTTATTTCGCACATTTATATTATATTATTTTTTTCATATGCTAGTC